ATAAATAAACCTGTCTCTGAGTCAGGCCCACTCTTTCCCAAAGTTCGAAACGTTGGTTTTCCAGGTCTACTTTGGACTCCTGTTTCACTTGCAAAACAGAAGATTTTGCCCTTCTGTGCATAGCAAGATCCCTCAAGGGTTGTGAAAATGCCCAGATAATCTGCTTTTACATGTTGATTGAGAGATAAACATTGGCCAGCATACTAGAACCAGCCTCCCATGTTCTTCTTTGAAATGGAGCCAAGGAATCTTCTGCACTCACCTGATTGAGATGGCACATGGGGCCTCAGATTAACATCTCAACTAGAAGATAACACAACTATCACCTCTCAGTTCATCAATAATCTTCTCTTCCTACTCTGTCTATCCTTTGCCCCTTCACCCGGGGTTTCTCATGTTCCTCAAGAGGAGTCATCTTAACAGCAGAGAGATTTTTTTTTGTCATTCCGCCTCTGCTTCTTATGCCCAAGAAATAACCGTTAGCATCAGAACATCACATGCTAAAAAACATTTTCTTTAAAATTGTTTCACATGTTTATGAATCACCGTATCACACACCACCAGCCCCCTAGGAATCAAAGTTCTCCTTTATAGGTTCTGCTTTACTGGTTATCTGATAAGAAGCAACCTCTGTGAGTCTATTTATGGGCAATGGTATTGGTTCTTGGAAATGAATAACAGTTCTTATGAGACTCATATGCAGAGAAAGTAGCAAGGTCCATTCTCACTGTAGGGTGTTACCCACTGCAACAACTGAAACCAAACAGTCAGATTTTCAGCATTCATCCCCTGTTTAGAAAAATGAGGGGATATCTCATAGAAACCTGTAACACACTAACAGAACCAGACAGGGTAAACACAGGAAGGGTGTTCCCAATGACTGAGGAATCCAGAACCAAGGGTCATAGTGTAAGCGACACAGGGTCCTCCATTTTGGACTGAGATGAGGAGAAATGTCTTCACCAAGAGAATAGTGAGCCTGTGGAATTCGCTACCACAGAAAGCAATTGAGGCAAATACATTAAATGTTTTCAAGAAGGAGTTAGATACAGCTCTTAGAGCTAAAGGTCATAGGAAGAAAGCAGGAACAGGGGTCTGTGTTGGAAGGTCAGCCATGATCATATTGAAAGGCAGAGCAGACTCGAAGGGCTGAATGGCCGACTTCTATTTTCTAGGTTTGTTCTCACTTTCAAATTAATTTCTGCATTCTCTTAACATCAGAAACAAGACTCCAGTTCTAGGTCATCTCAGCCACTAAGCAGGTCTGTGAATTAATCCATGGGACATGACTGGCTGTGCATTTATTGCTCAGGGTGCAGTTAAGAGTCAACCAACTATGGGGGTCTGGAATGATATGTGGACCGGGTGTTGACAGCCTGTGTAGTTGTAAACCAGATGGACTCTGACAATTGACAATGGTTTCATGGTCATCAATAAATGATGTGAACCCAGTCCATAGAACATTACCTGGGTCACTGGTTCAGTAACAATACCACTAGACCATCACCTTCCCTGTTGACATTCATCCATGTCAAATTCTTAACTTTCACAACACAGGACAGGAGAGGAAACTGGGGACTTGAAGATAATCAAGCATCAGGGAGAAACATGAGCCACAACTGGAATTAAATTCTGGCCAGGAAGGCCAAAACTTGACATTCCAATCCCACTATCAACTGAGGCCTAAAGTGGTCTGTGAGTGACCTCGTAACATTTTCATTCTTCCTGTCCTGCAATTACTGCAGCTCCAGCTGAAGTGAGACAGAGATTGAATAACCAGTGCATGTGGGGTCACAATTTGTTGGTCAGTGGAAGAGGGTTGGTGGGTGTTGTGGCCAACGATTTGCACTAAGTTGTACAAGACCCAGGGACAAGAGCTAGGGAGATTGAAATAACTCCACAGAGGCCAGAATCCTGTCACCAAGTCACCCCTTATTTATATGTGGAAG